GGCAAATACTCATGCTAAGTAAAAGAAGGGGAAGACAAAGCCAGTTTTTTGTTGTTCTGAAAAAACAACAAAAACAATAATTCTCCAAAAGGGACAAAAATGCTAGTTTCCTTAAGCACTCTTGACTACTGCTTAAATTCATACTTATTTGATTCTGTAAAACACCGCTGCAGTGTTAGCAAGGTGCATGCACGGCCCACCTTGGGAAATTACAGAACCGTCGATGTTTACCTTGCTGGTGGAAGCCACAGGTCTGCCCAGCCCACAGCAGTTATGAGCAGTCCATGGTCTGGGACTCTGAGCTGGCAGGCTAGGAAACACAGTGAGCATAAACGGACTGTGAATCGTTCCTGATAAGTGAATAAAAAATTGTGACCAAACAATCAGCTTATTCACTTATCAGGAATCGACTGTTCTGCTAATGCGCTGTTTCTGTTCTTCATCTCTGTTGTAGTTCACTATTTTTGCTGTGTTCTGTTCTCTCCTCTCATGCTTGGGCAAAATCACTGGGAATAGTATCTTCATATGACCATAAAACGTTTATATCGAGTGAAAGTGATATCTTAACAAAATCTATGCACTTGCTATCAGGAACACAATACTGGATGTGTCTTATATATATTGAACTATATAGTACTCGATTTCTTAAATAAAGCTTAAGAAAGGACTGTTGTGTGTAATGTTAATGTGATTATTTTTCAAAGCAGTGTTTCTAAGGGGTATTTTTGTCCTTTTCAGTCTTGAGTGATACAGGATATTTTTCATTAAAATTATATCACTGGCTTTATGACTTAATGTTCAATAAATTGACTTTGGAATCAAAACGGAGTGGGGGGAGTTCTTCCGAGCACACTTTAGCAAGAGACAACTGGAAAACCATCCCCTTCCAGGTGTCCATGGAACGTTCTACCCAGGGCGCTGCGGGTGGCAGAACAGAGCAATCCTTCCTGCCCAAAGGCCTCTGGAAAGCATCCAGCATCTGCCCTAACCTAGAAACTGCCCAACTGCCTTTCTGGCTATTCCCTCTTGCGGCTCCGAAGAGAGAAAAAGAAAGACATATCCGAGAATAATGCTGGTGTGCATCAATGCTTTTCCAAAACGACTGACACTAAAACTAGCCCCTGCTGGGGAGCAGTGGCGGGTCTATTCAGGATGCAAGGCGCCGGAAAGCAAGAGATGTTTGATCATTCAGGATAAGAAGGGTAAAATTTCAAAGTGATATGAGAGAGACATCCTAAAACAGTTGCAAAGCTTAAATGGGAAGCCTGCTGCTTGGCCCTTTGAAGGAATATTTTTGAAATTTTTCCTACAGGCCATAAGTTGGCACAGAATGGCATTTTATGTTGGATTTATTTAGCTTTGGGGTTTTATATTAGATTTGTTTTTTCTTGCTTAATGTTTGATTCTAAGAAAAAAATCCTAAACTGCTACTTGCAAAATGGCGCAGGCATCCTAATCCTTCACAAAATAAATCTAATGAGGGACAGAGTATGATTAATGAAAATCCACAGAAAATCTTCCAGTCTCTACCTCTTCCCACCCCAAACTTCCTACTTACAGATTTGTCAACAGAAACAAAGACTAGTGAAACTGATCACAAAAAGAGCAAAGGGTAGCAAAATCGAAAGGTCTAGAAAGACTGCATTGCTGGAGCCATGCAGCTTGGGATTGGGGGAGAGGTTTAAAAAAAAAAAAAACTTAACATTCTGAAAACCGCTGGTCTACATGCCCAGAGCTCCAGTGTTGAAGCGCTGGCTGCACATGGAGGTGCCCTAGGAAATACTCTCTTCATAGCTTTGCCCTGAGCATCAGTCACATAGCTAGAAAGCATCCTCGTTTTTAAACAAAACACATCCAAGGCAATAATGTGTAGGAGAGCACGAAGCCTCGGTCAGGGAACAAAAAGGGAAAACCCACATATTCCCATCACAGCCTGCAGACCCAGCTCAGAGGGACAGCTTGAGGGCCTGTCAGGTGGGAGCCGCTTTGAGGTAAATACATTTCTTTTAGCCTTTCTCTACAGGGCAGCAAAACAGCCTGGTACCTTCTACCTGCCTACATCCAGAGCATTTTTTTTAACTAAAAAATCAATATATTAATATACATTAAATATGTTATATATTAAATATATAAATATAAAAGACATATTGTGTTCTGCAACTGGTCAATTACAGTTAAAGTCCCAGGTAAGACCCTGCAGTTTTGAGACACTGGATGATGCTTCCATCACAAAGCTGGTCTTAAAAATATAGAAGGCACTTAAGAGCATTTCTGGTGAGTCACACTGCCTGTTTAAATGCCAACTCTACTATTAATTACCCGTGTAGCCTCTCGGTGCCTTCATTTCCTCACTGGCAAAATGGAGGTTAAAAATACCTAATGCCTATTGCATGAGGGTGTTATAAGGATTAGCTAAGCCTAGATACAGAAAACACTTAGCCCAGGACCATCACATTGTAAGCACTCAGTACATTCGGCCAGTTGGTAGCAGTGATAGTATCTACTGACATGGTCAACTAAGCTCCCCTCTGCCGGCCTTGTCTCCTTCTATCTCCTCCCAGGGGTCCTCTCAGCCATCCCCAGGGAGCCCCATGGCCCTCCCTCAGTTCCTTGGACAACTACCGACAAGGATCAACCAGAAACCACAGCTCCTCCAGCAGAGATCTCTGCACTAACAAGTTCCAGGGCAGGCTCTTCCCCTCAGGAGAAATTATACGCTGAAGACATGCCCACCTTACAGGCTAGCACACCCACACAGTCCTGCCCTATGCCATGAGGCCTACCAACTCCATTCTCAGAAAGGGAAACTGATTACTCACTCTACTCATCCCTGCTTCCTACATCTAAGTATGACACTGAGCCATCTCTTTTCCAGAAGAAATGCCTGGCTATCCATTTGTGTCCTAAATGGAAATGGCAAAATCACCTGGAGATTTGCCTGTAACAAGCCTGTAGGTTCTATGCCCTCCCGAGGCCAAGCTGTGTCCTCAGCAGCAACCTGAACTGATTCACCTTTGATCACCTTGGGAAGAGCAGTGATCAGGGCTCAGAAGCCTAGATGTAGCCAAGCAGTGAGCTCTGTAGACCAGTGGTCGCCAACCGGTGGTCCGCAGACCACTGGTGGTCCGTGAGGTCCGAAAGGTTGGCAACTGCTACCACCACCCCCATCTTC